GGTAATGCTGTTCACCTGGGCTGGAATGCAGCTGGTAATGCTGTTCACCTGGGCTGGTAATGCAGCTGGTAATGCTGTTCACCTGGGCTGGAATGTAGCTGGTAATGCTGTTCACCTGGGGTTATTCTAAACCTTAGATTACTAGGACAGGACATCAGTGAGGTGGCGGAGTAGGCCTTTTCAGCACACACTTCATAGATATATCCACATTACTCCACATGAAAATGCCTTCACAAAAGCTTTGGAACTCTGGTTGGATGTTTCAGCACTTGGGTGCAGCACAGAGACGAAAGGTACTGAAGAGTCACCGTCACGCCCCACTCGTTGAATCCACCACCAGATTCCCCTCCCAGCTCTCAGACTGGCAGGAGATGAGGGTAATCCGAGTAGGATCGAGGCCTGAGCAAATTTCTGAGTTTTGTTCACTGTCAACTTCTTTGTGGATCAAATTACCTCTTACAAAACTCACCTCAGAGTGTTGAAGACAGACATGGCAGGAGAGGAGTCTCAGAGGCATAAGCACCTGCCTGGAAGGAGAGGATAAGCCCACACATCTCATGCAAAACATCCTACAAACTTCCTCTGAACACCCTTGACCCAGGAGTTCAGCTGCCTGCTGGACCAGTCAACCTCTCTTCTTCCTCTGATTCAAAATCGCCCTCACTAAATTCCTTATCACCATGCTGACTTTCTTCCCCATCACTCCTTTATTCTCCCTTGCTTTGGAGTTTCTTACATTGATATCTATCCTCTTTAGGATTGGGTCTGGGGGTTCCTGGAACTTGGCAGAAATTCCTACTCGGCGGGAGGGGTGGGGCAGGTAAGGTGGAGTGGTGGGGGGCGGCCCACGCTGCGCCTGGGCTGGGACTGGTCCCACCGGCGCAGGGTAGCAGGAAGCTCTCCACACACTCACCGGACCTGGGCTAGGACTCTATCCTCTTTATCTATAAATAACATCACCACAGAAGTCTAAGGGCCAAGTAGTGCAAACAAAATCTTCAAATGAGACAGGCCTGATTATAAAGTTATATTTATTTATTTTGTATAACTAAAAATAGATGATGCCAATGTTTCTTGCTTCCAGGGGCTATCCTCTGGCACACAATATTAGTCCTCAGGAGATTCTGAAAGATTATACAATCAGGGGCCTTCAAGATTCAGTCAAAAATCTCATCATTTATTCAGACACTGAATTTCCTGTCCTCAACAGTGCTATGAGGTACCCAGAAATGACAAGATCAATGCCCAGAGGGTAAGAAATTTAGCCAGGTTTACTCAGATAGGAGGAACAAAATCCAGATTCAAATCTGCACTCCTTCAAGAAACATCAATTTTAACAATTCTCCACACATAAAAATACTTTCATAAAAGCCAAGGAGACCAAATGAAATGTTTTGATTGTGTAAGAAACACCCAACTAAGTTTGGCTCAGCATAGTGCTGGGTGTGGAAGACCCACCCTAGGGAGGATTATTGCCAGGTGGCATAAAAGGAAGATAAGAAATGACTTTGTCCTCGGTGGAGCTTGTCTTCGGTCCAACCCTCACCTTGGACGCGGTCTCCTGGCTTCTAGCGTGCTCTTCGCTCTCCACGGTGGACTTCAGCATCCAGCACTGACCTTTCGGATTTCCAGGACAGAGCCTTCTGCCTCCCGACACAGACTGAGCTCCAGGCCTTCAACTGGACCCTTCCAGTTCCCAGTGTGCAGACAGCTTTTGGACTCTTCCACCCCGGACTCTCTGGATAGCTATTGTAAGCCAATCTTGTAGATTCTGATAAATTTGTGCTCCTTGTATAGACTCTGTTTCTCTAGTAAGCACTGGCTAATACACCAAGGGAAAGTTTACAGCAGCTGGAGGTAGTACAGAGATACAAGACACACTGAGAAGGACAGAAAGGCCAGTTTTACATTACTGTACCCTCTCCTCAATTTCAGGCGGTTCAGTACAAACAGATACAGTACAGAGAGATATTGTCCTTTTGAGGGAACAGCAAGGAAGTGAGCACCAGATTTTGCCTCCAACCCAACACCAGCTCCCATGGACCACTGGGGCACAGACCTGCCCTGTAGACCTAAGTCTGCCCCCACAGACTCAGGTTCAGGCACTCCCTCCCTCCAGACCGGCCCCTTGGACTTGGGCTCCAGGCCCCTCCCAGCATGTGAGCGGCACCCACAGATTCATACTTGAGATTGCTCTGTTGGCCCCAGCTGCAGGCGAGTTCCCAGGGATACAGATGCCAGGTCCTTTCGCACAGGCCCAGGTTCCAGCCCACCCCAATGGAGCCTGCGCCAAGTTCAGGCCCAAACCTGCAGCCTCAAGGGCTGGAAACGTTGGCCCGAGAAGAACTTCATCTACTTGAGGCCTCTAGCAACAAGTTTGCTCTCCAGCAGCTACACCAGGTCGCCTGCCCAGAGGCTCCGGATGACCTGAGTGGTGAAGGGCTTCCCTAAACAAAGCCATTCTGCAAAGCTTGGGATAAATCAGTTTCTTCAAATGTGCAGACACTGGGGCTGGAGAGATAGTTCAGAGGCATAAGCATCTACCTGGCAAGCACAAGGACTGAGTTCAGTCCCTGGCCCCACATGCCATGCAGTTTCAGCACTGGATGTGGGTGCCCACCATGTCAACCCAGAACCACGCATGGTGGTACACGCCTGTAATCCCAGCACTCAGGAGGTTGAGCCAGGAGGATCTCTGTGAATTGG